GGGATACAAACTTTTTCAGAACATCGGTAGACGGTAGCCATTACAGACGAACGTGTTTGTTGTTGATCCAGCAGCGGTGCAGTCACACGCTAATGTCATTAGTTCGTTATCATTACTAAGGTGCAGGACTACCCCCCTTTTTTTCACATCACGTCGCCTGCTTGGATTTGTTATTATCTCGCTCTGAAGCACGGAGGAGTGTCAGCTCGTTTCAACTGCTTTTTACGACGCGGTCTCATTTCTGGACTCAATAATTTTGTGAATGAAGCCGATATTTCARTTAAAATACATAAGTAACAATATTTATCCAAGTATAGTACTAGCCCCCAACTTTATGGATGATTTTATGGATTTAATTTTACGTAATATAATTGAGTAAATACGGTACATACGTAAATCAAATAAAGTTGCGGCATCTTAAAATCAGAGCCAACATTGCCAGACCCGGCCCACATCTGGTCGATAAACCAATTCCCATGCCAGCAGTGCCAGCTTGACACCAGATCTGGCCCGCACCTGTCTGCTACTGTGGCCCAACAAGATGGGGCTCATCCTGGAGGCTTTGAGCTTGACAGTGGTACGGTTCACTGTTTGGGTGTGCTTATTAAGATATTTTTAACATAAAGAGATTTTAATAATAAAAATGGCACAAAGCTTGAACATGCACATAYGCTTAGTGAGAATTTAGAGTTGTCAGAGAACAGAACAAGCGTGATTTTTGTCTGAAGGAGGAACTTGGAGAAAACCCATGCATGCACAAGGGGAGCATGCAAACTCCAAAAACAGCCAAGTCTTGAGTTTGCAACCTTCTTGAAGTGAGGTGGCAGCTTATTTCCATACTAAACTGAACTTGTAAAACTCAACAACAAAGTCCACCCTTTAATAAGGTGTTTTTATTAAATTTGCACTTGTCAGCATTTAAGCCAGTGGCTTATCTATTCTGGYCCTTTATTTATAAAGTACAAGTTGCAGTCTCTCCAGGGTTTCTGCTCACCCTGTCACAGACAGCAGGTTTGGGCTACTGGGAGTTACTTACTAGTAACTGGGCGCAACATCACACTTGATTGGAAGATGGAAAGCCAAATTCTGCAAAAGCAACTGATTTGTGAACACAGAAGCACACATCTGGCAGAGAAACTCCAGGAAATGGTATTTGGATGGAAACCAGAAAGACCAGATGGTACCACGCTACAAAAATGATCATGTCTCTGCTGTTCTGAAAATGTACCGAATCATGATTTTTGTGTACCTTTACACATGCATTACTTCTTCTTAAATAATAATAATAATCTTTACTCTATTAATATAGTTGGGTCCACCCTTCATCCTCAGCTTTGCAGAAGCCTTGCCTCAGATTATTGTTCGGATACAGAACAAACCATCATGGAGCTGCTTCAGTTTTTACGTTATTACGCACGCTGCGTGGACGTTCTGCCAGTTTCAACTGCAGGAAGCAAAAATATTTACAACCTTTGTGACACACACTTCCTGCTGAATGCATTTGGCTGTTCTGATCATCAGAAGCGTACATGCAGCTCACACTGCCAGCACCTGCCAGCTGCTTAATCAATATTTCATCAGAAAAGTTGGTTAAGGCGTTCACAGCAGGTCAACACATCCAGACAGTACAAGACAAACCTCGATAAGACTTTTTAAAATGAACCCTGACTAATACATCTGCAGTCATTATCATAAAAAAATCTGAACTATAAATGTGCAACCTCACTATAAACGCTGATACTGTATATTCCTAACACACAGTCCCTGTTCAGACACTTGGTAAAAGCATATGTATTTTATTCAATTTCCAGTTATGTGAACCTTTAGACTTTATTTGATTTTGAGTCTCAGATTGTTTAAAGCTTTCAGGGGAGAACGCAAAATAAAAGTCTGTGTTGCTTAGAAACAAGCCCACTGACAGGATCCAACAATTTCCCTAAACATCTTAAAAGGCCCGTTAGCTCTTTCCATAATAAGGCAGGTGAAAACAACGGCGACCCTCTGCTACAGATGGCTCGCTGTTATCCCGAGCATCGTGCGTTTTCTTCCTAACTCTTCCAAGATTGAGCCCAAGTTGTTTGTGTTTGGGTAATTATTCCCTCGCTTGTTCACCTCGACCGAGGCAGTAATACCAGGCAGAGCCAGCTTCTGGTAGTTCTTGGAGAGGGGGAAAAGCAGGTTAAAGTTTTATAACGCTGCTAATTGAGTCCAGTTGCTGAGGGCCCCGGAGAAGCTTCATGATTGCACACAAACGCACACGAGAGGCGGCACAGACAGAAACACCTACGAATGCGGGGCACCGTGAAGAAACGTTGATTTCTTCGGAGCCGTAAAACGCCCTGGATGCATCGACAGCCCCTCAAATTAAGCAGCTCGGAGACAGATGAATCAAATGCATTTCCATTACGGGGCAAATATTCCATCTACCYCCAGTTATAACGACACCGTATCGGAGCATTATGGGGAAATATCAAATTAGGCTGTTTCATTTGGAGGACTGTTGTGCATTGCAAACAGCTTTGGAGATCAATTGAGCTGCTAGGTAATGAGCGGCAGCGGCCCGCTCTAATATACTCTGTAATGTTCTTTTGATTGCTTTGGTTAATCTTGCTCTGCCATGCAGCGGATGGGGTCGGGGGTTTGGTAACCTCCCCGCCCCTTCCTTGCTGAAGCACATGCATCAGCCCAGGTTAGAGCAACAACAACAACAAAAACAGGAAATGGAAAGCGGTGTTAAAAGCAAGAAGCAATATGAATCCAACTATTACATCTGGGTAATTCTAGTTCCTGTTTAACGCCAATGGGAATTCATTAGACTCCACGAGAACCGATTTTTTGCTGAAGGACTTTCAATCAGCTCGGTGAAAATAAATAAATAAATAAAATAAGAAGCCTCAGCTGACTAGAGCATGATGCACAACCTTCAGATGAAGTGTTGCTGATGCGTTCTGACGCTGGAGTGGATATAATCAGGCGCATTGTAGCCACTCTGACTTCTGAAAGTATATCTTCTCGCTCTCAAAGAGGCGAGAGCCACTCCGCCACACCACCACATGTCCCGTACTGTAGCCATTTAATATTCTCCGGCTCGGCTCCATCCCCCCGCAGCCCTCGCTCACCTAGAAAATGCTAACAAACCTGTCCGACCACTTTTGCAATATGCTCCACCGCACTACTGCATGCCACACCATCTGCCCCATTTCGCTGTGTGGGGTGAATATTTATCCGCTTGTATCTGTGTCGCTTAGTTTTCAGGTATTTTTGCAGGACTGCCCACACTCAGGATGGCACTCACATGTGGGGGTTAGAGCTGTCCGGTACTCTGCAGTCACCAGCTGGGAGCTGGGTTAGCCGTTTGGGGGCATGATGCATTTAGGTTTGCGTGACTCTTACCTCTCCACGTGGTCCAGAATCCCCGACACTCCCAGTCCCCCAATGGTGTACAGTTTCCCATCATACACCAGGCTGTTGTGTCTGCAGCGAGCCACGGTCATCCGGGACACCAAATTCCAGTTGTCCAACAGGGACATGTAGCACCACACGTCGGCCACCATCACACCCGACTCAGTGCCGCCTGTAACATAAATAATAATAATAAAACAGGTTATGTAGAGCAAATATAGTCACTGAAGGCACCGTGGTCTAAAAAGATTTTAAATATATATTTTCAACATCTTAATCTGAGATCCTGTCAGGTCTAGAGATTGTTTGAACCCAAAATGCAGAACCAGAACTCAAAGGTAAAAAGTAAATAACTCATTTTTGAACAAAAGGAAAACAAAAAAGCTGACGATGCAGCAAAAACAATCATTAGAAATAATCTCACAAATGATAACAAAACTATGAATGGCTTACGAGCACAATGCACGGACACTGGACAAACCAAGTGTTTAAACTAACGCTCGAGAATGACAAACACATGAGAGAAAGACGATGAGGATCAGGTGAGAGTGGGCGGGGCAGGAGCTGCAAGTGAACACTTAAATTGCCTGTGACATACTTCAAATACACAAAGTCAAGGAAAACATTGTGATATTTAGGAAGTTGGCATAATACACATATTTTATCTATTTTGTCACAAAATTGGCATCTTTTCGTTTGAATTTGGTTCAGCCAGAGTAAAACAGGAAGTGACATCAAAAGGGAACTCTTTAAAACTCCCTGGTATTTGTTTATTCAAACAATATAATTTGAACTCTGACTCTTCTTCATCTCTCTGCAAATGACTGAAAATAATCTAAATAAACATCATATTCTTCTCTACAGTCTGCGTTGTTAGCTGTTGCAGCAATGCTTTGTTAACATGCAGACTCTGACATCACTTCCTGCTAMTTCACGTGCAAATATCTCAACAAATGTTCGTCTCAATGGTCTGAAATTTTTCTTGCAAAATGTTATCAATGTTATCGATCCAAAATTTTATTTGTATTTGTTACAGAAATTTGACATCACAAGTACTTTGCGGGTAAATGAATGAATGGCACATAAGGGAAAATGAACACAATTAAWCACAGAAAACTAACAAAGAGAAGACTGAAGTAAAACATAAACACAAATGAAGTTCTTAACTGAGATATACAGTATAACACAAGAAATGAAAGTAAACACATGAATCCTAAGATACAGGAAAACGTAACCAAAAAGGAGACAAGGCTAGAATCTAACACAAATAATATCAGATACTAATGTCATTCATGACAGCAGACATAATTCATTAAAAGGTTTCATTTGAGTTGTGGCAACACCGTCTTCACCTGCATCATTAGGGTTTATCTGCAGAGCATCAGGTGTGAAACCACTAGATTCAGGAAGAGCCTAATTCCAGAATCTGTAAGACTTTAAAACACCAAAAACTGTCACTGTAGCACCTTAACTACTGACACTTTATTGACACTGACAKGTCACCAACACCTGGTCATTTATCCATGTTGCTGCCTTTACAACCATCCATGCTGCTTTGGTGAACCTTTAGATGTTGTCGCTTTTTGTATTTTATTATTACTTTATTGCATTTTATTTTCGCTTTATATTATATATACCTGTTTTTTATATTGTTTTTAGGTGTTAATTGGGAACACGTATGTAATTTTGTTCCATCTCACCTAAAGCATGTGATGCAAATAATAACAACAACAATAATAATAATAATAAGAAGAAGAAAATGAA